ATTTCACTGACCTTATCAGACCCAAAAGCTACAACTCTTATTGCACAGGTCCTGCTTTACCTTGGTCTTAACCATCCAGCAGAAAAGTATAAAAACGAAATATAAGAAGTAAAGCCATGCTGTTATGTTGAGCTATGGGGGACTCAGGTCAACAATTTTTGACATTGCCAGTCAAGTGGAAGACACAATACTATTATGGGCTACTGGACTTTTTTACAGTATTTTGCTGAGTTAACACCCCTATAATATTCAAACAACGGAACTTAACAAAAAAAGGTTATACAGATGAATGTCCATTTTGTATCTGTGTATTCAAAGTGGTTCGAATAGATACATAATTACATTCTCTTAATGAATAGAGTGATTTGTTCTAATGTGTTTGTAAATAGAATATCATGTCTGCATCTTGTACAGCAATTAACCACTAGGAAGAATGTATGCAATGTGTGAATTATTGAAACTGTCCTACCGATTTGATTTGAAACTGTCTCATTGCTATTTGTTTATCAATAAAATTATGCAAAAGAAATAAATACTCTACTTCTCTGATATCCTGTCTTCCCCACTAGATCGTACACTCTGAGGGCAGGCGCTGCACCTATGCTGTTCAGCTCGGTGTCTAGCACAGCACCTGGCACATAGGAGGCACTCAGTAAACATTCATGTTCTACCAAAATAACCCATATTTTCTTAAAACAGACCATGAAAGTGGGATTACTGGGTCAGAAAATATGAACATTTAGGGGATGGGGAGATAGCTCAGTGGAATAAGCACTTGCCTAGCAAGTACAATGTCCAGACTTTGATCCCTGGTACCACCAAAAAAAAAAAAAATTAGTAGAAAATATGAACATTTTATGAGTCGTAAGTACATATTGCCATATTTTCTACATCATACAGTACCAATTTATCATCTATTTAGCTTTTTCTTTTCTTTTCTTTTTTTTTTTTTTTTTTTTTTTTTTTTTTTTTGCGGAACCGGGGATTGAACTCAGGCCCTTGTGTTTGCCAAGGAAGCGCTTATTCCACTGAGCCATCTCCCCGTCCATTTATCTTTAAGTACACTAAGGATATAATTGAAGACTAGATACATTGATACTCTAATATAAGAGTATAATTATAGAATCCTTGCTATCAGAAAAATATTGTTTAATATTTTAGTATGTCATTAAGTATCATCAAATAGGTAATATATAGGATTGAGCATATCATTAATTTTAATATTTATTTAATTAAAATATTAATTTTTTTTCTCTGAAGTCTATGAAGTGAGTCTCCTTCCATTTTGATTATCTCCTTCCATTCTACTCTTCCAGGAATTGTCCAAATCTCTTGACCATTTGTTAGAATTCAGCAGTTCTTTTTGTTTTTGTTTTTGCTTTTTTTAGGGACTGGTCTATAGGGTGTTCAGGGTCTCAGTACCAGATCAGACTCTTAGTGATCCGCCTGTTTACAGACTCCCAAGAGCTGGGATTACAGGCATGTGCCACCATGCCCAGTCTTAATTGCTGTCTCAGTGCGGCCCAGGGACAGGGCCGGCAAGGCATGCCTGGGGTTTGAATCCCAGCCCCTGTGCCTGCTTGCAGGCACTTTAATCAACTGAGCTATTTGGCCAGCCCTCAGCAGTACTTTAAAAACACAAATTCTTAAGAAATTTCTATAACCTCTCTGAAGAATTTACAATAGTTTTTATTTAAAACATACATGTCTGACACTAGTTCCTAGAATAATTTTATGCAAACTTACGAAGAATGCTTACCTGGAAAATTTTCAGTGCTCTTATAAGTCCTCCAACTTCATTTTTTAATGAAAAAATGAGAGTTGTTCTTCCTCTTTCCAAGGAATACTCTTTGTTCTCCTTATTGTCTTCAATCATGATGAATTTGAAGCAATTCTCTAAAACTAAAACATGAAAACAGAAGGCTAACAATGAAGTTGGGCAGCACTGACAGGACCGCATAACTCGGGACACAAGAAACTCTCCCTTTCCTTATGTACAAGACCTGAGTATGCAGATATGTTTTGGGGTTTGGTTTGGTTTGGTTTGGTTTGGTTTGGTTTGGTTTGGTTTGGTTTGGTTTGGTTTGGTGTTGGAGATTGAATCCAGGGCCTTCACACTGAGCTACATCTCTGGCCCTTTTTGTTTTTGCTTGAGAAAGGATCTCACTAAGTTGCCCAGGCAGGGCTCGTACTTGTAGTCCTCCTGCCTTAGCCTAACAGAGTGTTCGACTACAGTCATGAGTGCCACCGCACCTGACTCAGATGTATTCTATATGCCTGTAATGAGAACAAAATAAGTTAACAGCTTGCCTAGCACAGTGGCTACAATGTACTGGACATACAGTACAAATGAGTAGTTCTCTATCAATTTCTCTAATCCAATCACTCTTATGGGTCATAGCCAAGCCCACTAGCTTCTTGTCATCTTCCTGATAGCCAGACATTGAGTGCTCTTCCTCTACGACACCTTGTTTCCCCTCCTATCACAATTTTTTTAATTTTAGTTTTTATTGGTACACGGTTGCTGTACATAATTTTGACATTCCCTGTGAGGAGTCAATACACATATATATCACATCTTAATTCTTTGCATTATTGATTTCTCCCCTCCTTCCCTCATCATGACTTGAGCACTACCTTTTTTTAATAATTTTTTTTGGGGGGGGCTGTTGAGATGGCTCAGTGGTCTAAAGCACCTACTCAGAACAAGCTAAGCTAAGCAAAAGCAGAGGGACCGCGGTTTAATCCCCAGCACCACATGCCAGCCAGCC